GCATGGTTCTGTGTGTGTGTGAGCACTGCCATGTGTGTGAACATGGTCATGTGTGTGTGTGAGCACAGCCAGGTGTGTGTGTGAACATGGCTCTTTGAGCACTGCTATACGTGTGAACATGGTCATGCGTGTGTGTGAACATGGCTCTGTGTGTGAACATGGCTCTCTGTGTGTTTGAGCACTGTCATATGTTTGAACATGGTCATGTGTTTGTGTGAACATGGCTCTCTGTGTGTTTGAGCACTCTCATATGTTTGAACATGGTCGTGTGTGTGTGAACGTGGTTCTGTGTGTTTGAGCACTGTCATGCATGTGAACTTGGCTCTGTATGTGTCAGCATGGTCACATGTGTGTGAACATGGCTCTGTGTTTGAGCACTGTCATGCGTGTGAACATGGCTGTGTGTGTGTGTGAGCACTGTCATGCATGTCAGCATGACTGTGTCAGCATGGTCACACATGTGTGAACACGGCTCTGTGTGTGTGAACATGGCTCTGTGTATCAACCCGGTCATGTCTGTGTGAGCACAACCACATGTGTGTACAAACTCAGCACAGCCACACTTGTGTACAGCCAGGATATAAACACAAGAACAGCCACACACGTGTGTAACAGAGCCAACCATGGCTCAGTGTGTGTATGAAAATGGCCACACACGTGTGTAAACACAGATGCGTGTGTGTTTGAGCACACCCACACAGGTGTTTGAACACTGCCACCCCTTTGGGTGACCACAGCCACATGTGCACAGTGACATGGGGGGGACAACCACAGCCCCCCGTGTCTGAACAGCACCCACCCATGTGCACACGCAGCTGGCAGGGCTCGATGTGACCCATGGCACAGCAGGAACCTCGGAGGGGCTTCCCCAATGCCACACCGCGGGGGTGGCACCGCCGCTGTGACCCGGCCACCAGGAGCAGGGGCACCCTGAGGCTGGCAGGGGGTGGGTGAAGGGGGATCTCCCCCCGCGTGTGTTTGCGTGTCCCTGAGCGCGGCTCTGCAGAGGGAGCCACGTCCCCCACGTGTCCCCTGTGCGTCCCCAGCACGTGCCACGCGTGTCCCCTGTGTGTCCCCGGTGACACGGCCCCGTGTGCTGCGGGAGGGGCGGAGTTTCAGCCGCGAGAGGGGGAAATGCTCCTCCGTGTGTGTTTGTGTGTGTGTGTACGTGTACATGCATGTCCCTACGTGTGCCTGCAGTCCGGGCTGTGCGTGTGCATGAGTGTGCATAAATGAGTGTGCTCCGGGAC